CAATATATAAGTGCAAATGACAAGTCTCGGTTAGCCTAACGCAGTGTAGCAAGGTATATATATATATTATACACACAAACACAACTCTCTCTGTATATCTTAGCCTCATCCCTAACAAGTCTAGTAAACCTGTAAAACCAATATGTACTTTTGGCTATCCAGCCAACACCTGAATGGAACAAGAAGACAGAAGCCTTGTTGAACTTACAATAACATCACAAATTTTGTGAACCCTTTAAAACTCTAAAATGTAAATGTATTTCATTAACAAGCAAGGATTAAATGAACAGTGTACTTGGTACATCTGGGTGAAATAAAATTCATAAAAATACAGCAAATTAAAAAAGCTTTTCCTTTTTTGATACAAAAGTGTTGGTCGAATGATTTATGCGGTGTAAGCTGATGTGCATAAATCAGTCCAAACATTACCAGGAAGGCATCAGCATGTCTGGGAAGGTGGATCACAAGCTCACTTTCCAGGACAACACAGATTTTTACAGGCTGGTGGTGAACCAGACTGGAACTGCCATTAGCTGCGTTCCAGTTCGTTTTTGTATGCCCTTCCCTCGCTAACTTCCCTCAGTCTCGTTGACTCAGATGTACGTCATTGCTTACATTGTACGAGTGTCCACTGGCGGAAAACTTGAAAAGGGTCCAAATGGAATGCCCTAAGCCCTTGATCACATGGAAAATGGAACCCGCAGTGGGTTCCATTTTCCTCTTTCATTAGGAGTGGTGTCACTGCGGAATTATTTGGCAATTTCTGCCTCTGAAAAGAAAACGTTTTTAGAGACTGATGCAATCCCAGATTCAGGTTAAGTTTATTTGTAACAGTATTGTGTATTAATAATTTAAATATTGTTATTTCTATTTCATTTAGAACCACAACTGCATAAATTTGAATGCACAATACCATCCGTTAAAGAGCTATTTTTTCTTGTGACTGCTCACTTTCCTCCAGAGTCTACCATAGTCTTGATTAAAGTTCGCAACATACATGTTTCTATGTAAAAATTCACTTGTCATTTTCACCTTTTAAAGGGGTCATATGATGCTGCTAAAAAGAACATTATTTTGTGTATTTGGTGTAATGAAATGTGTTTATGCGGTTTAAAGTAAAAAAAACACATTATTTTCCACATACTGTACATTATTGTTTCTCCTCTATGCCCCGCCTTTCTGAAACGCGTCGATTTTTACAAAACTAATCGGTCTGAAAAGCGAGGTGTGCTCTGATTAGCCAGCTATCCAGTGCGTTGTGATTGACCGTATATGTGGGGTGGAGCTATCAAAATAGGGGCAAGACCCTTTTGGGGTAGGGGCGTGTTTGTTTTGGTGATTTCAAATATCAACATTGGCTACCAGAAATCACTTACTCTGCCTTTAAAGTAGTCATTAATGAATAGTCATGAACTAATAATGAACTAATGTTATGTACTAATATACGCATACATTTATTATTATTATTTTCATTATCATTATTAGATGCAGTATATTGTTGCTATTGTTATTTTTCATGTTATTTAAAATAAATATTGATTCTTCCAAATTTCAGCACCAAAGGCAAATTGCAAAGGTCAACAACCCCAGTGTGCCAGTACTTCAGATTTACTTTGAAGAAATTATGGAGACAAAGACTGACTTCAGACTGTCCATTCAATAGCCTTGAAAGTTGTAGCTCTACGAACCAAGGGTATTCAGTTTCCTAAACCTCAGGACTTTGACAAAGTTGGAGAAGGATTTGCCAGACTGGCCCATAGCCATTTCTTCAAAAAGTGTGTGGGTGCCATTGATGGGTGCCATGTTAGAATAAAAAAACCTGTAGGACCAGATGCACAGGATTACTTCAATCGAAAGCTCTTTTATTCTGTTCAATTACAGGCCATATGTGACAGCAATGGAATTTTTCTGGACACTTTTGTTGGGTATCCAGGATCAGTCCACGACACAAGAGTACTGAAAAACAGTCCAGTATACACAGAAGCTCTCTATCCACCAGCAGGATATTTTATTCTAGGTGATGGCGGTTACCCATGCATTGAACATCCCATATGCATTATTACACCATTTAAAGAACCTGTGAGGGACGCCATTGAGGGATGTTTTAATGCCCATGTTTCAAAAGCCAGGTGTGTAATTGAGAGAGCATTCGGGATGATGAAGACAAGGTGGCGTAGTATCTTCTTTAAGGCCCTTGAAGTTGACTCACATTTTGTCCCTGACATCATCGCATGTTGTACTGTATTGCATGATATATGCCTTGGGGTTGGGGACGTGGAGGATCCTGGACCTGAGGCAGCAGAAAATGATGTGGGACCACCTCCTCAAATGGGCTCTGGAGACCTGAGTGGAGCAGCTCTGAGGAACACACTCGCTCGCCAGATTTCGGCACCCAGGACCCAGCTACATGACCACAACTACTTATTCCAAACTGTATTTCTTTCATAAATAATTTCATGAAATTTTTGTTTATTAAAGAAAACAATTTGCTACATACAGTATCTCACAGAAGTGAGTACACCCCTCACATTTTTGTAAATATTTTATTTTATCTTTTCATGTGACAACACTGAAGAGATGACACTTTGCTACAATGTAAAGTAGTGAGTGTACAGCTTGTATAACAGTGTAAATTTGCTCTCCCCTCAAAATAACTCCACACACAGCCATTAATGTCTAAACCACTGGCCACAAAAGTGAGTACACCCCTAAATGAAAATGTCCAAATTGGGCCCAAAGTGTCAATATTTTGTGTGGCCACCATTATTTTCCAGCACTGCCTTAACCCTCTTGGGCATGGAGTTCACCAGAGCTTCACAGGTTGCCACTGGAGTCCTCTTCCACTCCTCCATGACAACATCACGGAGCTGGTGGATGTTAGAGACCTTGCCCTCCTCCACCTTCCGTTTGAGGATGCCCATGCTTGGCCAATCCACCACCTTTACCCTCAGCTTCTTTAGAAAGGCAGTGGTCGTCTTGGAGGTGTGTTTGGGGTCGTTATCATGTTGCTGTACACTCACTACTTTACATTGTAGCAAAGTGTCATTTCTTCAGTGTTGTCACATGAAAAGATACAATAAAATATTTACAAAAATGTGAGGGGTGTACTCACTTCTGTGAGATACTGTATGTAAATAGTAAAATGTTTAAAACTGTAGTGGTAATTATACATTCAGACTCAAAAAGGTTTTTTGTAGTGTTCTTTTTATTGAAGAACTTTGCAGTGTAAACAGTGAAATGAATTCAAACTATTTCTTGTCATTTATTTTTTTGCTTAGTCAAGAAAACATGCAAAGTATGTAAAGTCACAATGTAAATGTGCCATATTAAACTGAAATAATGCACTTAATTACTTTTTTCTCTTGTCAATAAGAACTGTAATTCTTGCACATCTTAAGAACACATCTTAAATCTCCTTTAATGAAAATATGGCAACAAATCAATGAATAAAAACGAAATATTATGCAGATACTGTATAACGGGAACAATTCTTGTTACTTTTTTAGTATTGCATTGCTAGTGCTTAGAACGGTCAGCCAGCCTCTCCAGTATGTCTAGGAGGCGGTCAGTCTGAGATGGCAGATGCTGAAAGGGTCTTTCCTTCGTCTTTTTGGTGTGGGGGTTTTGGGGCTGTTGCCAGAGGAAGCAGACGGGGAGGCAGGCGAGAGAGCGGTGGCTGATGTGACAGAGGCTGATGATGATGATGGCTGTGGGTGGGGTTGGCTACTAGTAATGATGGCTGCTGTTGATGGCTATGTGTGGGTTGGGGATTCTGGGGCCACAGGTGAAGGTGGATCTGGTATGTAAGAGGATGGCACTGGCTGGTTAGATTAATTTGGTGGGGTTGCCAAAGCAGATGAAATGAAAACAGGGGGAGTAATGCTGGCCCTTGCTCCAATAGTGGAATGCATTAAACTAAACCACTTCCACGTGCAGGCACTGGGTTCCCCCTGGTCTGTTCCAGTGCCAGTTGGTGGGTTCCGGAGCTCCTGAATAAGGTTTGAAAGAACAGAACAGCGTTACAATTTGGAAACTGTAGCACTATAATTTCAAAGTGTCCATCAGCAACTCAGCACTTAAATGTCAGTAGCATTTTTTTTTTTTTTTGGTAAATTACAGAACATTTGAATAAACATGCTACCTTATATTTTTTCTTTAAATTTCCCAATTTTTTGGAAGCCAGGGCATCCGTCACCTTTCCATCCAGCATCATTAACAATTGTCCTGGCGAAAGACATAAATGACAGCTATTAATAATAATAATAACATGAATGTCCAGTATTCTGTTATTTCCCAAAACAATAATTTTGTTTTATGTGCGACAGTGAATAACACAGACATAATAATGTACTTCAAAATAACAAAAAAAGCCTGCAAATGTGGCATAATGACATTTCTGATAGAAATACTCACTCCCACGCCAGTTTGGCAGCATTTCTCCGGCCAGTAAACAGGCTGCCATTTGTTGCTCTTAGCTTTATACGTTTTTCAGTGTCTTCATCTGACCCTATACAATAACATAAACACTTGGCTGTAATACATTTGCAGTGGGCATTTGGTTAAACATTCTTAGAATTTTTGTGTGGTTAATGTTCAATTATGCAAACCACTATTTTCTACAAGCTGGTTTATTATTAACATTGTAGTTTTCTTTATTAATGTGTATTAAGCAAATTATGTGGGTCTTACACAACAGTAAAATGTAACACTACAATTAACAAATCTTAATAACAGTTAATGTAGTTACAAGTATTATGCTGTTTTATCTCAATATAAATATTCTAAACTGCTTAATTGACCTAACTTTACTTACAGGTGTAAACTACCTTCCCCTCCATCATTCGAACTGTGCCAGGTGTGGATAGTAATTGCGAGCGCGAGCTGCTGAAGTGACGTCACAATCGTACTGCATTGTGGGACATATACAGTGGGTACGGAAAGTATTCAGACCCCCTTAAATTTTTCACTCTTTGTTATATTGCAGCCATTTGCTAAAATCATTTAAGTTAATTTTTTTTCCTCATTAATGTACACACAGCACCCCATATTGACAGAAAAACACAGAATTGTTGACATTTTTGCAGATTTATGAAGTGTACATATGAAGTAGACTCGCTTCACGAAGTGGAACGCACTTCAAAATGGTGGCAGGGATTCCCCCGAGGTGAAGTGTGTAGGGACGTTCACGAGTGCGTGTCTAAAACTGGAGTGGAACGCAGCCATTGTCTTCAGGGACGGACTGGGAGTAAAAAACGGCCCTGGATTTTCTCCCAAATAGGCCCACCACAACTACAAACAGTCGCTACTATCTCACATTATTACAGCAATCCTATCGCATTTATGGCAAATAACATCACAAATTCCACTCCACCACAAATACCATCAAAAACATTACAAACCATCAACTTTTAACTATTAAAACCATTAAATAATGGTTTCCTGTAGTGTATTTTGGGACATATTACATTAGGATTCAGTGGCTTTAACAAAAGCCACGAATAGAAGGTGACCAATTACCAGCAGAGACCAACAGCCGCCATTACAGTTTCCATTAATACCAATACAATTTTCATTATAACCAGTAAAACCTTTACAAATTATGTGATGGTTTTTATTTTTTTTCAATAGAGGATTGAAATAAATGTATTATTGTATGAACAAAAGTACTTGAAATCTACAAAAAAAGAGCAGAATGCAAAATGTACATGACACATCTTTAAATAGGATTTTTATCCTATCAAAATTTTGATGCATTGAAATTTTATAATTCTTGTTACCAATTTCAATATTTAAAAACATAAAAAAAATAAATAAATAAAAATACTAGCCTAAGTAAAAACAAGCTTATACTTAAGACAAGTAAACAGACACAAATTACAAAAATAGACCTACCTTGAAACACTTAAAGCACTGAATAAGAAATTATATTGTATAAAATAAATGTACAAATAAACTGAATAGTCTTCACTGTATAAATTCAATATTAGTGCTGTGTTCGATACGACGATGTATCGTCACAGAGATCTGACGATACGAGTATCGATACAGCTGTCTCAGTATCGATATTGTGGCACGTGTGCAGCAGTGGACCGCGCTTAATTTGAATACAAGAACACCGTTTAAAATAGAGCAGAAAAGGTTTCTAAAAAAATAATGAATAGAGCATAATATATTGGCTACAACGAGGTTTAATCTGGCCGCAGAGGAACACAACTGGGTTGCCTGAAATATAGAGACGTAATCCCCGAAACAGAGCTTCACACTTGCGCAATACGGAAATATCTCCAAATCTCTCTCCACTGTGGATAAATGCGCTTCCTTTCTGAAAACACCAGTTAGCTTGTAGTTTAGCGATCTCCACTATATTCTATTCTCAGAAAAGTGTAATTCATCAAGTGTTCATTTATGAGAGAGAGAGAGAGAGTGTAGCTTAAGTTGATAAAATTGCGGGGCAGCACTAAAAAGTTTGTTCCTGAATGTCTGAGTGTGCGCAGCGTGATCTGTGTGAGTGACTGAGCGTGTGTGCGTTAGATAGAGTGAAGAGTTAGTTTAGAACTCTTCTAATTTTTATTTTTTAAAGTAGAGAGTGTGTTAATTTGTGCAATGATAACCTACCAGCAATGTTAAGATGATTTTTTAAATATATTAGAATGAGTACATTACAATATAAATTTATTAGAACGAGTACATTATTAATAGCTCACCCAAAAATTAAAGGTCTGTTGTTGTTCTAAACCTGTGAGTTGTTGTGAGTTTCCTTCTGCTGTTGAATGTAAAAGTATATGAAGAGTTAATTTGCAAAAATGGATAACTCCATTTTTAACCATTTTCAAAAATGATGTTTTTTCATTTGCATTCCAATTATTCTCGATCAAACTGCAGTTGGGTTATTTTGATTAAGTTAAAAAATGACAAAAAAAAATACAGCTAACGAACACAATAAAAGACAATAAAAACATAATAAAAAACATGATTTTGAAAATTGAAAATCTGTTTTTGCAAATAAACTCTTCATATATTTGGAACAATACTGGTAACCCAACAGTGCTGGGCCCCCCATGACTTCCATAGTATGAAAAACTAAATACACTACTGAAGTCAATGGGGACCAGAAACTTTCTAGTTACGAACATTCTTCAAAATACCTTCTTTTATGTTGAGGAAAACAAAGAAATTCTTACAGGTTTAGAACAACTTGAGGCTGAGTAAATGATGACAGCATTTCCATTTTTGGGTGAACTATCCCTTTAAAATCTCATCATATTAGAATCTCATATAGCCTACTACTACACATGCTTTATATTTAACTATTAACGTTCGTTTAAGACACAAATGACTGTGTTGACGAGGAGACATTTTGAAACACAACTGCATTTGAACGTTTAAGCACAAGGTGCGAAAAATAACGCGCGCATTTGCCAAAATTAATTCTGCCCCACTGCTTAATGTCCCTGAACAGTTACATTTGTTTTTAAACCACAATGCTTAAAATGCGTTTAAATGAAACGCTTAACCTACACCATGCCGCGCAAAACGAGTGATAGGCTATATTTCTACCGGTTTATCTCTCAACCCATAAGCGAATATACTTTGTTCAAACACAAAAAACAATATACATCCATCAAGTTGTTAACTTGTTAATCAAACTAACCTAACATCTGTGGGGACGATGTGATTTTGATCTGCTCCATGTGCCCGGTCCACTTGCTGCTTCACAACTTCCACTCCATCATCAGCTTTAGTAAAATAACCTGATAGCTGGGGATTTTACTGACTCTCTAACTCATGTTTTCCCCTCTCTCCTCATTTTTTTTTTAGAATAGTTTACATTTTTACTTATCGAAGATTGTTCTTTGCATGACCATTTCCAGATTATGTCAGAACGAAGTGAAGAGAGGTGAATGCAGACATTGCAGCGATCACCTGATTGATACGTGGTGCACGGGTCGTTCAAAAGTAAAAATATAGAATAAATGCATTTATTCTATATTTTTACCTTTGAATGACCCGTGGTCTATTCTAGGGGCTATATCTAAAAAAAATATGAGGAGAGAGGGGCAAACATGAGGCCGTAAAATTCCCAGAAGCCCAGATGACCAGTCCACCCCTGACTGTGGAGGGCAAGAACATTTCCAAGCTCTGGTTCAGACTAGTGATGTTCGGTTCTTGAACTAATCGTTCTTTTGAGCCTGTTCTCAGGAAGTAACCGGTTGAGCCGGTTCACAAATCGAACTGAATCGAACTTTAGTTCCGGGTTGATGACGCAGGACGCACAGCCGAAGTAGCACGTCCAACTCAAAAAGAACCGAATGAGCCGCTTCAACCAACTCTCGAAGTTTGCTGAGGACTCAACAAGAAACGAATGAGCCGTGGCGAAGTTTGGCAAGGATTACAGAAGATTCTGATGAGTGAGTTGACGATACTGTGCAAGCCTGAGGCGCGTACTGGACATATGCTTATTATGACTGTTATTAATTTACATTTTCTTTACATTTACTTTCTGTCGAGTGATGTAAATAAATTGTACAATAGTTTATTGTGCATGCATATTATATTTAAAGTTGCTTAAAGGAGACATATTATGCCCCTTTTTACAAAATGTAATATAAGTCTCTGGTGCCCCAGAATGTGTCTGTGAAGTTTCAGCTCAAAATACTCCTCAGATCATTTATTATATCATTTTGAAAACGCCTATTTTGAGTGAAAGCAGAAACACGCTGTTTTTCGGGCCTGTGTCTTTAAATGCAAGAAAAGTCAGTGTGATGAGAGGGGCGGGGCCGAGAGCCGTGGGAACGGAGCGAGGCCGGTGGAGTAAATGCTAATGCACGACACCTGCGCCACTCACCGGTCTCGAGTCCCACGGAGGCGCTCCGGAAGGATAAAAGGAGGAGTTACTCACCTTACTTCACTGGAGCTATAATAATTTATAATCTCTGAAAACATTGGCCTGACGCTTTACTATTGGGGGCTCTGGCAGCTAGCTATACTGTTGGCTAATCAAATCTACAACGGGCTTAGCTAACGTTACATATTTAGATGGGAGAACATGAGAAGAGAGAGAATAATTAAGTTCACTTGTCACTGAGTTCAAGATGTTAAATTAGTAACCTTACCTAGTAAACAACCTCGCTCGCTCTTCTGTCAGACTGCGGCGGCAGTGGCGGGGGTTCCGGGGAAACATAGTGGGCGTGCTCAACCTGTGACTTCAATCGAGAGGATTCCGGGCAGAGATTGTCTTACTATAAGGAGATGAGAGTGTCTGTATTACTTACTATTGGAGAAAGAGTAACGGCTAACTTGGATCACGTGTCCTTTAATAACCAATCACATTACAGCCTTGACGTCATTCAATTTCAGTCAGAGTTGTGCGACACTCAATTGTCGTTTACAGATATCATAGGAATGAATGAGAAGTGCCGTAAGCTGAATCCCACCTGTCGCAAAAAGTCAGTGACTTCTCTTATAAAAAGGCATTTTACTCTAAAAAATAGTTCAATCCAAAAGTATTGTTTAGTGTAAAACACGTTGAAGATTAGCAGATAGGCTGTCGATTCATTAAATGATAAGCCGTTTCCTCTAAAAAGCTGTTTGTTCAGCGTAGTGAAGCCTCTCCTCCATTGACATCCATTAAAAAAAGGCCTCTGGTCTCCTTTCCCACGTACTGTCAGACCGGAAGTGTTAACTTTAGCTGTTACGCTTTTTCGGCTAATGGTTGCAGGCTTGCCTTCTAGTGGCTTTGTTCTGGGCCCAGGGGAAACGTAGTGGACGTGGTCAACCTGTGACTTCAATCAAGAGTGACCAATAGAAAAAGGCCTTTCATCCTGGTGGGTAGAGACCGCCCACTGAGAGACAGCTTCACTCACAAGCAAAACTTTTTAACTCGCAAACAAAAGTTTTAGTTTTAGTAAAAAAAAAAAAAAGACGGCAGAAAAGAGCCACATTTGTGGTTTCGTGATGAATAGTGTTTGAAGTGCACAAAGTAAAATACGATTTTTCAAAGATTTACACGCACTGCAAATTATTAAAGGGGTCATATGATGCGATTTCAATGTTTCCTTTCTCTTTGGAGTGTTACAAGCTCTTGGTGCA